TGAGGTAACATCCTCAAAACAAAATTCAAGCTAACGAGTCAAGAAAACTTACTGTCAAATCCCTAATAGTTGGTATATATACGCTACATCTGGCCTCTGATCAAGTATAAAGTGATTTGGTTAGTTAAGGTCATATGTCAACTTCGATGCATGTGAGTCTGTCTTTCTCTGTATGTGTATATGCCTGTTTTTGTTCGCTTATGCACGAAACCCGCAGTGATGGCTCAAAGTAATGAGGACAGCAAAAAGGGATGTCTGTTTTTGGCTATCAAGGTTTGATGACCCATATCCCCCCCTTTACACATACATTTTATAAGCCATGTAGAGCCAATCGACAGCTGGTCAAGAGGACTCCACCGTCGGCTTTTGGTGGAACCGACCTTCAAATCTCTTCACGCAACACTTTCACTCAAAATGGAAGTAAGCTTGACAATTATGAAACCAGAGATTCCTCGGAACCTAACTTTTCTTTGCATAATTTATATTTGACTGGTTTTTATCGTGTTAAAAATGTTCGCCCCGGACTCAAAATATTTACACAACCTCATCCCAAACTGTAGCTCAATAGGTCGTTCCATCCTGCGTGGACTGTAGCTACAGTGTCGCTCTCGAGGTGAAGTTCATATACAGATTTTATATGTTAATGTGTAGACACTATCGTTTGTGAATAATGCTTTGTTTTTGTTGACCCTTTTTGCCTCTAGAAATTCACATTGAAATAATTGAATCTGTTTTCTCGTTCTTCCTTGTCCGAATATCCCGATTTCTAGTGTTCCACTTTGGCTGACTTTCGTCGACTGCCACAGTTTTGATTCACACCCGATTTTCTCTACACTCAATATTTTCTACCATTTTCCTATGGAGGTTAGCCAGCTCGCCTTCAATCCCCGTTTGGCCGGAGCCATTCCGATCAGCAACATTGGCTCTACCAGCCATGGAGGGCCCTTCGATTTGGCGCCAGGCTCACTAACAGTTGTCGTGAGCGAGGAGACCGATTCAGCGACGTTAGGTCGAGTAAAACTAGGCCTGGCAGCCGCTATGTTTTTTACCGTCCTTGTCGCCTGTTGTCTGCCAATATTGCTTCTTTTCTGTCTACAGCGCAAGACGACCCGACGCAAGGGATTGGGCCACTCCAGACCAAGCGAGGCGCTCAGAGAAAAACCCAGCGACAGTGTTTGCGCTGCTGGGAGTGGCACCGCCGAGGAGGGCTACGGTGGGACAAGTGTAGCGGTGGCTCGGGCAAAAGATGACGATGACAATGATGTCGATGACGAAGAGGACGACGACGACGATGATGATGATGATGATGGCGAAGAGGAAGAAGAGGTGGGAAAGGAAGACAGGCACATAGTAGGTGGGGTGGCCAACTACAACCGGATTCATACTGCCTCGAGTGCCCGAGTGGCCGAGGACGAGCTGTTGGAAGCCAAGGAGACGTCTTTTCTACCAGAAGACCATCGGACGGAAGTAGAAAAGGCAG